CCTTACTAGATTTAGGCTAAACGTAGGTTTTACTCAATATTGAGAGATGTAAGATCCATTGGCTAGAGCTCCATATATTTGGTGCAAACCTTTTCAAGAACGCTTTATTTACTTCCAAAACATACACAAATAAACCCAATAGAAGAAATGAGAGTTGTTGGTGCAAAATAACCAAACCCTAGATTCAAAATACAAAGATGTGATCTTATCTTCAACCTCTATAAACCCTAAAATTATCAAGCAAACTTTGACCATCTTTGGTACTATCTTAAAGAGCTTCCAAATACAAAATCATATTATCAAGAATCGCTCAAACGGAGTAGAAATGAAGAAGTTATGGTTAAAATGAGGAAAACCCCGATTTTCAGTCTTTTTGAGTAGGTCAAGCCTCCACGCTAGTTTCACCACAAGTTTAAACTATTGTGGAAACTAACCCAAGAATTTCATTGTCTGACACTAGTTTCACCGTTAGTTTAAACTAGCCTGAGCCCAAAAAGCAGGCTTCCAAAACTTGACACTAGTTTTAAAGTGAGTTTAACTCTACTTGACAACTAGCGTGACACTTTATTGTGTTTTTAAGCTGATTTGCGACCTCTCGAGTGATCAAACTTGCATCGGAGGTCTCTTAATACCTCAGACGACCTCCAACACAACGTTTCTGTATCTCAAATCTACCATATGACTTTTGATTCAAAAGCCACAAACATTCGATAATAGTTAGACACTGACCAACTTGCTAAAACAAATCTACACTCTTAAACGATTAACTGTAAAAAACACTGGTGTTACAAAAAATAATCAGAATAAACTATAATTTTGATCCCCATAATTTTTAATTGGATAAAAGACAAAAAATCGTGTAAAAAAAAAAAAGCCTCTCATGAATTTTAAGATGGTTAAAGGGGGAAACGTCGGTCACATGTATGTACGAATGAATGAAAAGGTGTGATGCTGCGTGAAGGAATGTTGGCATCATGATGATAATATTATAAAATTGTCACTCCCTACTTTAACTACTCCATCATGAATTTTTTATTGGTTTAACTGGGTATTCAACTTGTTATGTGAACCGATTAATTTCAGAATGATCATCTGCTTTGCAGATAGCTCGGAATCATCGCATTTGAACCTTCATAGCTACAAGGGGATTTTTATTCTTTCTTAGATTTGAACCTGTGATCTCCTGGTACTTTTGACCTTTGAAGTCAAACTCAAACCAATTAGACACCACCTTTATGGTTAGTCCATCATGAATTTTGGTACCACTCAATTATCATATGTTTATTTGCTTACCATTTTCTCTAATCAATTATTTTTCCATATGTTTTTGGATAATTTTATAGAAACAATGCTTATTTTATATTGATGCAAGTGTACCAAAATACTTAGATTTATATTTGATGATTAATTGATACAATAAAACCTAATATTCAGGACTCCGTAAAGCAAAAATATCAACCGAGTGAAGTGTTTACATACATACATATCGACTTTTTGATAAACACAAGTACTGAAAATTTAATACTGGAATTGACTCCTGCTCCTAAGATATACGCGACTGGTCAGTTAATAAACTCAACCAGTTCATGTTTTCATTCAACATTTATCCACATATTAGAAAATATTGCTTCTTTAATAATCTTTATGGATGTAAATCATATATGGAAATATGTTCGCAACTTTTATATAACTCCTTTAGAATATAAATGTTGAGATCTCATTATTCATCGTATGATATGGTTCACCATTCTGCCTTGTTTGGTTCAAGCGAGAGCTACTCAACCCTTACCGATCTTGTTATCACAACACGCACACATTCGTCAATAATCACTACTGGTCAAGCACTTACTGATCTAGTTATCACAACACGCACACATATGCCAATAATCACCTGTAGCTAGGTTGGTGAAACCATATACATACAAAACAATTTCGTGCATAACATAAATAATTATCCTCGTGCATTTGTTAAATGATTTTAAAGAATATAACATGCATTATATAAAACTACATATGTGTAATAAATATAATAAAAACATGTAACGCACATTGGTCCTTCACATAAACATATAACACATAACATTACTTGCTCAAAACGCCATTTTATATGTAGGAGTACATCCCATTTAAAAAATGCATGAAACTTGTATGAAGAGTTTGTTACTGAATCTGACACTGACACATGTACATCATACATAATAGGTCAATTGCCTACCATTACTTCTCAATTCTCATATGGACGTGTTACACTACGCAAAGCTCATATTTGGTGCTGCCAGTCTTGCAAGGTTCGTGCCAATACCCTTTATAACTCGGCATGGTCCATGTCATTCATCACAACCCATGGTAATCCCTTTCCCAATTTGGCATATGCACAAAAAGTTAATGAAAAGAAAAAGAAGTTTCAATACTCGGCATAAAATACTACTACTTACAAGTAACAAATATTCAACTCAAATTGCATTACATACATATACATGGTTGGGTTCACGTGAGATCAAAGGTTTTTCGTGAGACCCGTAAGACCAATTTATGTTTATTGATCAACTTTATAAGCTAATGATCTAATGGTCTAAGGTTGCACGGTGACAATTTTGTGATTATTAAGAAGTCTCGTGGCAATTTTGTAATTATAAATGTTCAGATTGTAGATGTAATACAAGTGTTAAGAATTGATCTTACGAGTCTCACGAAAAACCCTTGGTCTCACATGATCTCAAGTCTACATACATACATACACACACACACACACACACACATATATATATATATGTGTGTGTGTGTGTGTGTGGTGTGAATTTGACTTTGGGGTTAGCTCGGTTTGTGTTCGTCAAAGGTTTTTAGGTTGGGTTGACTTGAGTTGTCAGGTTTTTATGCGCTCCTAGTCTTGATGTCATGACATAACTGATTAATTTAAATTTTGATTGTTAAAAGTTATAAACTTGATTATTAATAACTTTTATTTAAATGGTTTGTTAATAAATCGTAAGAGTATCTTGGAAGTTAGCAAACAGTCTGACAAAGTTGTTGGATCTGTTTCGTCTCTTTTAGAAAAAAGTGTAATCTGTATTATAAATACTCCATCTTCATCTCATGGGAATTTAATTTTGAGTATAGTTCTCCAAAACAAGTTTTGATCATATATTGTAATCGCCAAGTTCTGACTTTATATGAACTTATTTTAATTCGTTTAAACCTAATTTATAAAATCGACCACTCAACATCAGGTTTTCCAAACTTTACAAATCGAAAGCCAAACACAAACCGATATTTTTCAACAAATCAATCTTTAATAGCAAAGACATATAAGTTTAAATAGCCAAAATCTAAAATAAAATTAAATAAAGAGTAAACTCTAATTTTGGTCCTTGGAGTTTAGTGAAAAATCTGAAAGTGAGATCTGAACTTTGATAAATCTAGAAAACATTCTTGTCATTTGCATTTTGCTCTTAGTGGTCATTGGTTACTAACTCTGTTAAAAAATCTGTTAAAGAGAAGGGCAGTTTAGTCTTTTCCCCATTCTCATAATTTTCTTTTAAATAATAAAAAAATGTATTATTTATATTATATGTAAACAGAGGGCATGTTCTCCATACCACCATCTGTACATCCTTTGAAGATCGACTCTGAAGAAATTAACCTCCTCCTTCTTCACGTGACGATGTCTTCCCCAATCTAAACAAGAAACATACATAAAACAAATCCAAACCAAGGAGTGAAACAAAAAACAAAAAAAAAAACACCCACCAAAAAAGAACCTTCGAACCATAAAGGATTGGTTTGAGTCTGGGCTCAAAAGGTCAAAAGTGTAGGGAAGTMCTGGGTTTAGATCTAAGGAGGAATAAAGTTCGTTTGTGACCACAAAGATTCAAATGTGGTGACTCCGGGTTACCTGCAAAGGAGGTGATTGTTCTGAAATTAGTTAACTCACTTAGCGGGTTGGATATCCATGTTAATAAAAAAAACCTCGTTTATCGTCTTCCTCCCATGGTTGGTGATATCGGAATGAAATCAAAATTGAAAAAACCCAGAAAGAAATCAAAGAAAGAGAGAGGAGTTCAAATTTCGTCACTATGCTCGAACTCGAAGAAACCACATAGCCTTTTCGACCATGTGAGATCCCGTCTCTATGGTTTTGTGTGTGTGGATTGAAAAGAAAGAGGGTGATCGAAGGAGAAAGGAGGCTAATGGTTTGGTCGACGATCAAGGAGCTTGGCTGATGGTGATTTTGTCCCTGAGATATAAATACATACATCATACATATACATATATTTTAAGAAAAAAACAAAGAGAGAAAAACACAAGAAAAATGAAAAAAGACAAGAAAAATTAAAAAGACAAAAATACCCTTCTCTTTAACGGATTTTGTTAACAAAGTTAATGAACATGGACCACTTCTAAAATAAAATATAAACAACCAGGATGATTTTTAGATTTATCAAAGTTCAAGCCCTACTTTAAACTTTTCACTAAACCTTTGTATAAGAAGTAGAGTTTACTATTAGATAAATGTCATTTATTTTTTGTAAAATAATAATTAAAAAAAAAAACAAAATCCGAAAGAAGATTGACCACCGAGTTTCCCGACCAAACTTGGGACCCCATGACCTTTTCATAATAATGGCTGACCCAAAAGCTAACATCCAAACACCCCTTTTTATCATTTGTCCTCTCCTTTTGTCTCACATGCCCAACCTACCTTTTTAACTACAACTACCAACGCATCCATTCTACCACATTTTCTAGATGTATGAGATACATCTATATAAATTAAACATGATTTATGTATGAGTTTAAAATTAAATGTAATTAAGAATTCAAATCTTTTTACATGTTTTTTTGTATTAACTCTATTTCTCACACGATCTTTTAGAATATATCTTTTCAATTTTTTAGTTCAAAGTCGGGTTTAAAATCTGATAAAATATTTCTCAAACACTATTATATGGTCGTATAAACAAGGACCATTGGTTCGTCCCCAAAAACAGAAAGTCAATATCATGATCTGTTTCTTGAATCAGTCTACACACTCCGAAACCACCGTAGACCCCAGCGATGAGCCGGCGCTCCTCCCTGGCTTGCCGAACCACCTAGCCCAAGCATGCCTCTCCACCGTCCGCCCCTCTCTCCTCTCCGCCGTATGCCGCCAGTGGCGCCGCCTCATCTACACCCCGTACTTCCCTCCCTTTTTATCTCTTTACGCCATCGTTGCCAATAACAATGGTAGCCACCTCTCGGATTCCGTCGGTTTCTTTAATTTTGATCCAATCTCCTCCAAATGGACAACCTTGCCAACTCCGACGGTGGACCCACCTCTTCGTTTTCTCCACCGCCACCCGTCGTTCATATCCCGGAATCTTACCATACAATCTTTGACGGTCTCCAGTCGTCTAGTGCTCATTGCAGCCACCGGTCATAACTTCCTTCCGGCGTTATCTCATCCGTTGATTTTCGACCCTCTTACCGGAGAATGGTTTCTTGGTCCTCCACTGTCAAACCCACGGCGGTGGTGCGCCGCCGGGTCTATCGGCGATGCGGTGTACGTGGCTAGCGGTGTTGGGGCCCACTACCGTGGTGACGTGGCGAGGATGGTTGAGAAATGGGATGTGAAGAGGAGGAGAGATGAGTGGAGGTGGGAGGAGATGGCCGCGCTTAACGATGGAAGATTTAGTCGAGAATCAGTGGAGGCAGTTGGGTATAAAGGGAAGCTTTGCATGGTGAATGTGAAGGGTAATGCCGGAAAAGAAGGTGTCGTTTATGACGTTGAGGAAAACCGGTGGGAGAAAATGGCTGCCGGAATGCTTTCACGGTGGAAAGGGCCGGTGGGTGTGGCGGAGGAAAAGGTGATGTATGTGGTGGATGAAGAAAAGGGTGCCGTCAGGAAGTATGATGATGAGAATGATTGTTGGGAAGAGATGATTGAAGGGTCGGAGCTTCTGAAAGGGGCGGAGCAAATGGCGGTTGGTGGAGGGAAACTTTGTGTTGTTTCCGGTGGCGGTAGGAGGATTACGGTGGTGGACATGGTGGCGGAGCCTGTGAAGCTTTGGGCGGTGGATCCGCCATTGCCGGAAAACGAAGTTATCTCAGTACATATCTTGAGTAGGCCAAGCAAAAGTTTATAAAAAATATGTTCATTATCTTCAATATTTCATTTGGTAAAAAAAAAATAATGAAATTATTGATTTGTAAATTGTACTGACGACGGCTCGTCCGGCCTTAAAATTATATTATTAAAAAAAATATTTTATTTCATTAATTATTATTTTTTATTAACCTGGATATCTAATCTGTTAAATCTGCTATACGAGCTGACTAATCTCAGGACGACCACCTATTTTGTAGATAGCTCAGAGTCACCGCATTTGAACCTATGTGGCCATAAGAAGATTTTTATTTCTTCTTGGATTTGAACCTAGGACTTTCCGATACTTTTGACATTTGGAGCCAAGCTCAAACCAATCAAACACCACACTTGTTGTTATTTCATTAATTATTTTTGGTTTATATATAAAGGATCTAAACATGAATTATCCAACACCCATGGACATGGTAGACTTTTTTTTTTTGGGTCATATTAAAATTTATTTCAAGTCAAGTCCCGGAAATTAAATCCAAGACGTATTCAACGGCTTAGAGCATTTATGACGGCCTATTTCATTGAAGATTTTTTTTGGTTAATAAGAAAAATAGACTTAGGTTCTTCTATCAAATGGTTAGTGGGTAAGCGTTTATCATAGAAATTTTTACTCGGTAGAAGATAAGCACTGCAGGATAACAGATGTTTATCAACAAATTTGATGGTCGAAAATGTTATCAGATAAGACAAGTGAAATGGTATGTTGGTAAGTGTTCACTCGGTAAACATTTTTTGAATCACCCCTTGACAAAAAAAAAACTAGGATTGTAACCGTAAGAAAAGAAGATTTTTTTTGTTATTTACATAACCTCCAATCAAAAATGCTACGAACATATTAAATGAATGTTTGATTAGTGGTATTAAACAATAATTAATGAAATTGAACATAAAAGATGACTGGTTTTATATAATACAATAAACTCACATCTCTCTAAAGCCTAAATTTTCATTTTCATTCATCTGTCTGAACCAAACAAACTTTTAAATAACAAGGAGATAAGGTTTCCTCAAAACCAGAAATAAAGGATGGATTTGGTTTTTGCCGAAGTCGGGGAGAGGGTAAGGGGAGGCGATGGTCAGGCCTCAGCCAAGATAGGCCGATGATGAGTGCCGTCGGAGTGAGGTTGTTTGGGGAGTTATATATATATATATATATATATATATATATAATTTAGTAGTTGTTATAATGTAATTATTGGATTTACCTTTAAATTAAATATATAAAAAAAAAGTACAAGTGAAACAAAAGAAATGCAACCACTTATTTGGAGGGGGCCGGCAAAAGACACAAATTTAAGACCAAACTTTACGGAGCAGGTTGCGTAAAGACGAGAAAGCCTCGCATCCCCACCGCTACCGGTGCCCACCCACACATATTATAATATCTCATCAAACTCCTTTTTAAAACCTTTAACTTCCACTTTCTCATTCTTTAAATACTTATATTCTAATCATCCATATCTTACAAATCTATGAATTTAAATACGTTCTTTCTCTTTATTATATTATCTATATTATCTTTACTATATTATAAAACATTTGACTAAAACTCTTAAAACTCTTAAAAACTCTTAAATTTGTTCATCTCTATTCGATTTCATCTCATATCTGAATTCGTATAACTAACTGCAGATAAACACAATCAAATACAGGATATACATCTCATTTTAAATATAAAAAATCTAAAATATAATTAGTATAATCATTAAATTCTAACAGAATACTTAATTATTATCTTTATAAAATTTATAATATTAAACCAAAAATAAATTGTTT